TTTTAAGATGGACTCTCGCTCTGTCACCCAGGCTAGAGTGCAGTGGTGTGATCTTGGCTGACTGCAACCTCCACTTCCCGGGTTCAAGCGATTCTCCTGCCTCAGCCTCTTGAGTAACTGGGATTACAGGTGAGCACTGCCACACCCAGCTAGTTTTTGTATTTTAGTAGACACAGGGTTTCTCCATGTTGGCCAGGCTGCTCTCGAACTACTGACCTCAGGTGATCCACCCACCTCGGCCTCCCAAAGTGCTGGAATTACAGGGATGAGCCACTATGCCCCGCCAGGCATATTTTAAATGAACAGACATTTTGGTTAAAAAGTTCCATTAATTTAAATAAGAGCCTAACTTATATATGTGAACTAAAAATGGAACTAATTTATCACTTCTAGAATACTGAAAATGTGAGGGATAGGCAATTTTTAAACCCCTAAACAATAATAGTTCTTTCAAATTTTTGTCTGATGTGTAAACCTCCCTTTTAATATGTTTTTCCCAGGAGTTTAACTCCACCAAAGGTCAATTCTAGGGGAAAAACATGAAGCAAATAATTATATCTTCTTAAAATGGGCAAATCAAATACTACTAAAATTAAGTTATATTAAATAATAACATATTACTATTTCATTTAACCTATTATTGTATGGCTATTCATAAAGATCTTAGAGAAAAGTAGAGTACTGAGAAATCTTGAAACAAACTTATGGCACTTCCAGTGCAGGGTGAAGAAACTGAGCATCACAATGTATGGGTTAAAAAAAAAACTGGGCTGGGCACAGTGGCTCAGCCTGTAATCCCAGCACTTTGGGAGGCTGAGGTGGGCGGATCACTTGAGGTCAGCAGTTTGAGACCAGCCTGCCAACATGGTGAAACCCTGTCTCTACTAAAGATACAAAAATTAGCAAGGCATGGTGGCACACCCCTGTAATCCCAGCTACTCAGGAGACTGAGGCAGGAGAAATGTTTGAACCTGGGAGGCGGAGGTTGCAGTGAGGCAAAACAGCACCGCTGCACTCCAGCCTGGGCAACAGAGAGAGACTCCATCTCAAAAACCAAAACAAAACCGGTGCTTTGAGGTGGTTCACGCCTGTAATCCCAGCCAAGGCAGGTGGATCACTTGAGTCCATGAATTTGAGATCAGCCTGGGCAACACAGACAAACTCCATGTCTAGAAAAAATTTTTAAAAATTAGCCGGGTATGGTGACACACGTGTGTAGTCCCAGCTACTAGGGAGGTTGAGGTGGGAGGATTGTTTGAGCCCAGGAGGCAGAGGTTGCAGTGAGCCGTGATCGTGCCCCTGCACTCCAGCCTGAGTGACAGGAGTGAGACCCTGTGGCCAAAAAAAAAAACTGTGGGTGTTAAAACATGCTTTACCAATTAACATATTCTGTTCATAACGTACAGTCTAAAAGACTTTTGTCGGACATTTGTTAAGGCTTCAATTGCATTAAGAATATCAACTGTTAGTCGACTGGGAAAACAACACAGGTACAGGTATTTGTGTCTATAATTCTTTTAATTTACAGTTTATAATTTTTTTAAGTATACTTTTTAGTTTATAATTCTTTTAAGTATTCAAAAAATCAAATTTCTATTCAAGTATAGTAAGTTAGAAGTAACAGCTTACATAAAAAGTTAGCATGGCAGTACCTGAGTCATATTCCTAGCTATCTACTCTTTTAAACGCTCAGTACAAGCAAGCAAAAGCCATTATTTTTCTTGGCAGGTAAAAGAGGCAGTGAAAGTTTGTTTCTTTAACTTAGGTTGGGATTTGCTCTTGGCTTAAAAAAAAAAAGGGGGGGGGAAACTCCATAAAAATAAAGATTAACTGAAAATGTTTCTTACTTTGGATGCACCTATCCCTTTTGGTTTTATTGTTTTCCTCTCCTCCCCAGGATTTTCCTATTTGTGTAAAACTGTGTTAAGAACACCTGGAGAGGCTGGGCACGGCAACTCACTCCTATCTACCATCCCAGCACTTTAGGAGGCTGAAGTGAGCGATCACTTGAGACCAGGAGTTCCAGACCAGACTGGCCAACCTAGCAAAACCCTGTCTCTACTAGAAATACAAAAATTAGCTGGGCATGGTAGCGAGCATGTAATCCCAGCTACTTGGGAAACTGAGGCAGGAGAATCGCTTGAAGCCAAGAGGCAGAGGTTGCGGTGAGCCGAGATCCTGCCACTGCACTCCCTCCTGGGCGACAAAAAAAAGAAAAAAACCTGGAGGATAAAAATTGTACCTAATACCTAGGACACTTTCTGCACAGAATAATATATAACCACTTAAGTAGTAGCCATATGATAATTATGTCATTAAAATTTAAATTCTTGCTCTACACAAAAAATTACCATTTATATCTTCCAATAGGATCCCAGAATCCAGGCCTTGAAAGTTTACAGGGTCCTTCAGTTGCCTGCTTATAGAAGCTATAAAATTTAAGCATCATTTCATTTGTTGGCTGGAATGAACCTGTTGTAAACACACAATATAAAACATTATATATAGATCATCTGGGGAATACAACAGATAATCTAAGGTTATAAATTAGCTATACTAATAGTGATTTTATATTTCGTTAATACTTTAGACAACGATTGATTTCTATCTTACAGAAAAGTTATGGCTTTGTTAGTTGCTTGCTTCTTTGATTTCAAAACACTCTGAGATTTTAAATTTTAACAGCAATGCCTAAGATGGTTCAATAAATAAAAGAATAAATGAAGAGATATGCTGTAGATATAACCAGAATAACCAGCTAATGTCTCTTTAAAAACATATTAAAATACGGAATAACTATTATTATACAACCATTTTAAAAAGTGTATTTTTATTCAAAATTTATGACAAATCATAACTGACTAGCATAAGTGAAAAAGTTACATGTATACTCTGCCAAATTTCAAATTATCAATATATAAAGAATTTGGGGCTAAAGCCAAATAGTATACACTATGGTAGAAAAAGAATTAATCCAAGATAAAATAGATTTATCACTCCTACCTCTGTAATTTTGGAAATATCAATTTCTTTGAGAATAATTCTTCATATATGTTTCTACCATATCTATAACTTTTTACAGGTTTAAATTTTCAAATTGGTCAGGTGTGGTGGCTCACCCCTGTAATCAAAGCACTTTGTGAGGCCGAGGTGGGCAGATCACCTGACCCCAGGAGTTCAAGGCCAGCCTGGGCAACATAGTAAAACCCTGTCTCTACAAAAAAAAAAATTAGTTGGGTGTGATAGCACACCCTGTAGTCCTAGCTACTCAGGAGGCTAAGTGGGGAGGATCTCCTGAGCCTGGGAGGTCAAGGCTGCAGTGAGCTGTGATCGCGCCACTGCATTACAGCCTAGGTGACAGAAAAAAACCCTGTCTCAAAAAAAAAAATTTCAAATTGTATAAGCAAGTGCTATAAGTTGCAATATTCTCAATAATTGAAAAATTGGGGCCGGGCGCAGTGGCTCATGCCTGTAATCCCAGCACTTTGGGAGGCCGAGGCGGGTGGATCACGAGGTCAAGAGATCGAGACCATCCTGGTCAACATGGTGAAACCCCGTCTCTACTAAAAATACAAAAATTAGCTGGGCACGGTGGCGTGTGCCTGTAATCCCAGCTACTCAGGAGGCTGAGGCAGGAGAATTGCCTGAACCCAGGAGGCGGAGGTTGCGGTGAGCCGAGATCGCGCCATTGCACTCCAGCCTGGGGAACAAAAGAGAAAACCCCGTTTCAAAAAAAAAAAAAAAAAAGGAAAATTGGAATGTTTTAAAGGAAATAACTGTTTAAATAATTATGATATTAACTATAACAGGACAATTTATAACTGTGACCCTAAAAAGTTATATTGTAGAAAAATATAAATAATAGTATAAGTTCCATGATCTACTATACATTTAACAAAAATAAGTTTAAAAACAACGTATATAACATGATACATCTTTGCAAAATATTTATATACATAAAAAGTACAGTAGAAAGATAAACATCAAAATGTTTAAAGACTATCTCTGGATAGTAAATATACAGATTATTTTCCTTTTTGTTTATCTATTTTTAAAAAGTTTTTTTTTATTTAAGCGACATTCAGAGCTACTGGAAATCAATAAAAAGGTTTTAAACATCAGTGTATATTATCTTTATAACAAAATTATAAAAATAAAAATTGTAACAAGATATTTTTTAAAGTTTGTAAATTGAATAAGCTAGCAGTTTATAAGATCTGTGGGCTGGGAGCAGTGGCTCACGCCTGTAATCGTAGCACTTTGGGAGGCCCAGGTGGGTGGATCACCTGAGGTCAGAAGTTCAAGACGAGCCTGGCCAACATGGTGAAACCCCATCTCTACTAAAATACAAAAAACTAGTAGGGCCTGTATGTCAGCTGCCTGTAATCAGCTATTCGGGAGGCTGAGATGGGAGAATTGCTTGAACCTGGGAGATGGTAGTTGCAGTGAGCCAAGATTGCTCCACTGCTCTAGCCTGGGCAGCTGAGCAAGGCTCCATCTCAAAAAAAAAAAAAAAAAAGCTGTGGAAATTACCACACAGCTGGTGTTTCCAGTTTGGCCAAGAGTTCATAATTAATTCTCAAATCACAATAATAATTATCTGTATAATATGTGTACATTTAGGAGTACCTAATAGGTACAGTATTTTAATGTTACAATCCTTTATACAGCAGAGGGAAAAAAATGGAGAAACCACAGTTTTAGTGGTCACTCATTTAAATAACACAAATCTAAATTTAAAATATCAAAAGTCTAATCTCAAAATATCTTCAGTAAGTCAACCAAATAAGTTTATTGGCTTAGGTGAATGATATTAAAAAAACGAAAACATACATTTGTTGAGTGTAGTCTGTGTGTAAGGCACTCTGAGTCTGTCCTCAAGGGGCTTATACAAGATAGATTTAATATGTGTCTGAAATATTATCTAAGAATTTTAATTTTGAAAGGTTAAGGTCATACCAAACATAGACACCACAGGATCCATTACTACTTCAGGCCTTAAATAAATATTGAGCAACAAGAAACAAAAAACTGCAAGATCTTGCTCTTCACAAATGGTTCAGAGCAAATTAAATGGTTTAAAAGTAAAATTACAAAAATATTTATAACAATTCATCATGACAAACTTCTGCTTCAATTAATATCAACTTAATTTCAGCGGATAACAGTATACTGGATATTGTCCAACACAGTTACCATTTGATAGGGTATCTTAATTTTGCAATACCTTCTTAAATGTTATGGAAATACAAACTGTAATTTATATGGGTTTCCTAATAAGTGGTATGTAATGTCAACAGGGATAGTGGCCTAGAGACATCAGTCTAGCTTTATCTGTATTCAAAAAGAACTATAAAAACGTGTGCTTTAGGAGAAAGGGTAAACATACTACTTACATAAAACTCTTAGAATCATAACTTTCTATAAGCTCTACAATCAGGGACATAAAAAATCAATACCTAAATAAGTTCATATGTTATTTATTTATATTTTGTTTATTCTTTCTTATCTTTTAGTCCTAAAATAGAATGTTTGGAATTACAAAAGGTTCAGATAACACCATAGAAGATAAAAAAAGATAAAATTACAAATGGAACACTATTTTGTGTATATTTGTTTTTAAAATTTTCTGAATCTGCATTTAATGAATTTTTGTTGAATGATTTGTGTTGAATATCTGTTACCTAGCCAAATGATAATTAATGAAAACAGAAACCATGATATTAAATATTATAGTGACGTATTATTATTGTATTCGGTTAGTTTTACAACTGTGGCACAGTATTACCTAAAATTACTTTTTAAATATGTTTATTGTGAAATATAATTCGTATAATGTAGAAGGATGTGAATTGAAAAGTAAGTCTTCCTCTCTAAAGTTCTGCACTTAGAACAAAGAAAAATATTTAACAAGGGCCGGGCATGGTGGCTCACGCCTGTAATCCCAGCACTTTGGGAGGCCGAGACGGGCGAATCACGAGGTCAGAAGTTTGAGACCAACTTGGCCAACATGGCGAAACCCTGTCTATACAAAAAATTAGCTCGGCGTAGTAGCGGTTGCCTGTAATCCCAGCTACTTGGGAGGCTGAGGGAGGAGAATCCCTTGAACCTGGGAGGCGGAGGTTACTATGAGCTGAGGTGGTGCCACTGCACTCCAGCCCGGGAGATGGAGTGAGACTCTGTCTCCAAAAAAAAAAAAAAAGAAAGAAAGAAAAATATTTAACTAATGGCCAAAAACTTTGCATTGGTCTATGACATAAAATTACAAATTCAAAAAGCGCTGCAAATTGTGAACAGGGTAAATACGAAGAAAAACCACACCTACTAGTCAAATCGCTGAAAACCGAAAAGAAATCTAAAAAGCAGCCAGAGAAATAACGCATTAAATACAAGAGATCAGCAACTCCAATGACTTTTTTCTCACAAGCTGCAAAGAAGGTCCAATATGAGTATAAAAAAGAGAACATTGTACAATGGAATAGCAAATACAAAGGTAGTAAATATATATTTATAAAAATAAAGAGAAATCATTTCACAACTGGCTATAGTTCTTTCTTTTCTGCGCCTTCGTATCAAAAGTTTTCAGAGGGCTCAAGCTGGTAGACCCTGTACGTGTTCACTAGGCATCCCCATCCCAGATTTTTTTTAAACACCCAAACCCGCAGTCATTAAGTGACAAGACTTTTGTTTTCAACAATATAAACTACTTAAAACCTGGATATTATCTCTTTCTCCGGTTTGGAAGATCAAAAGGTAATTAATTCATATTCAGTAGAATCCCTTTCACTACATAGCTCCTACACAGGGAAAAAAAAAAAAAAAAGTAGGCTAAATAAACAACACTAGAACCAGAAGCTGAAAGGAGGTAAGCCGGGGCCTCGGGCCTCTCTGCAGGGCGTCTCCAGCCAAGGCCCAGCGCACGTACCATTCTTCGGCAAACTCTGGATCACCTTCACCGCTGCCTCAAACCTGGTCTCATGCACGGATCTCGTGTCCGCCATCTCCAGCAGCCAGCGCCGGCCCCGGTCCCAAGGTCTGTCGGCGGGAATCAGGCAGCAGCAGCACCAGCTTTCCCAGGAGCCTGCATGAAACTGGAACATGGAGCGCAGCCGCGGATCAACATGCCCCAAAAGGAGTAGGCCCGGGAGCGTAGCGGGTCAGTTCCCCTTTGCCCTGCCCTCCAGGCTACACGGATCGAGGCGGCTCGGCTCCTTCCTCCTCCCCCGGGGCGTGACTAAGGCCACGAATCCGGCCCGCGGCGACAGCAAAACAACTCACCGAGAGGAAGAGCATGTCTAGCAGAAGGCAGAGGGGGTCCGGGCACCGATGGCCGCGGAGCCGCTCTCCCACCCGGGGGACCCTGGCGGAGCAGCCACACCCCCCATTCCGCCGGAGTCCATCTGTCAGTCCGCGCCCTCCCCACAGCCCCGCCCCAGAGTCACCGGCGGACGCACTGGCGCCGCCGCCGCCGCAGCGGCCGTGCAGCAAACCCCACCCACCGGCCCCGCCGCCGCGGCGAGGACGCGCGCGATCAGTCTGTCCCCAGAGGAGGGCCCGGGAAGCGGGGAAAGGAGAGAGAACCCTCCAGGGTGCCACAGCCCCGGCTTTGTGCGGGGAGCCACCTGTGCTCACTTTTGTTCAGAAGGGGGAAACCGAGGCCGGACCGATATGTCCGCTCTGGCAGCCGGGTGGACGAGCGCTGGGGATGCGGGTTTGGGTCTGCGCCTGGGCCGGAAGCTGCGCGCGACGGCACCGCTGGGCAACAAAAATGACTCCGCGGTCCCCAGCGCCTGCACTCTCCTAGGTTAAGGTTTGAGGAAGGTAATGGGGCCTAAGCCAAGGGTTTTGAGTCGGGACAGGTTCTGTGCGAACCTCCAGTTCTGCCACTTAAGTTCTGTGACCTAGGGCAAGTCACTTAGCCTCTCCAGTGGCAATCGGGACACCACTCTAAAGGGTAGATGGAGGAAAGCATTGGGGACCTTAGATGGAGGTGCTCAACAGTCCTTGGCCCGCGGGTCTTCGACAGTTCTCGCCGCCCTGAGCCAAGGACGTCTGAGCAGCAGCCAAAGGAGAGGGGAGTTCGCCGGCTCCTAAACTGGGCTGGGACGGAGGGCGACTTCCCCTCCACTAGCTTTCCACCCAGCCCCAGGGAGCCAATCACCACCAGGTGGATTTAATAGGAGACTGGGACTCAAGTGGCTCACACCAGTAATCCCAACACGTTGGGAGGCAGAGTGGGGAGGATCGCTTGAGGCCAGGACTTCAAGACCAGCCTGGGCAACATGGCGAGACCCTGTCTCTATTTAAGAAACCAATTAATTTTTTAAAAAAAATTAAAAGTAAGATACTGGGCGTGGAGGGAGTGGCCAATGAGGAGCCTTTATGGATCATCAACCCTAGAAAGGGGGTACCCTGGGCCTTCAACTTACTAGCGCAACCCCCAGCGTCCTTAGGCATTTGGTAAATGTACCAGTCCCAAAGCTGCTGGGGGGACTGGCTAAGGTTGTGACGGTGGAGTCCTTTGGCCCGGAAATCCCAAAGTCTCCCGGATGGAAGAGTCGTTTTTGTCAGTTCGGGGGATGGGTTAGGAGGATTGCTAGTAAAAATCGAGGCGCAGATCGTAAGTTACTCTTCCCTCGGAGCCGCGGCGCTGGCATTTACCTTGGTCTTGCAGGGCAAGGCCAGTCCGGTAATGTCCCCGATGCCCACCCCTCGCCCTGCCCCCGCGGGCTTATGGGAAATGTAGTCCCCCGCACCGCAGCGCTTCCAGACACCTCACAGCCGCGGCCCGGGTTCCTGCCAGCTCTTCCGGTTCGGCGTCTGTGTCCGGCGGAAGCGCCTACCCTGCGGCGGAAATCCCTCCTTCCTAGCGAGTGGTTTGTGGTGTTTCTTTGAAATACCACATCGGCTTCTAGTGTAAGGGACAATTCTCAATGGTGTCTTTGAGAGCTATCCTGGTGTGACTGGGCTGGAATCAGAACACTGGGGTCTAATTTCTTGCCCCTGATGCTTACTAATATTTGGGTCTTTAATGAATGCCGAGCGCTGTTCTGGGAATAAAGACTGCCCGTTACTGTGTGCATGGTATTCGCAAAGGATGTAACATATTCCCAAAACGCTGTAGGGTGTTTACCAGTGATGAAATTCAGACTCATATTAACTGCCTTGCCCAAGGTATCACAGTTTAGGAAGCGGCAGAGCTAAGAGTCAGTGAACCCAAAAAACTCTTGCTTTAAATCTTGGAGTTACTTTCTCAGCACACCAAAGGAAGATACTTACTCAGACTAGGAACACTTTTTGCGTTTAATGATGTGTGTGTGTTTTTATAGGCTCAGCGGGGGTTTGGGTGGTGCCCGCACTGTGTCGCCCAGGCTGGTCTGGAACTCTTGACCACAAGCAATCCTTCTGCTTTGGCCTCCCAAAGGGCTGGGATTACAGACCTGAGCTACTGCTGCCCTCAGCCAAATTCTTTTGTTTGTTTTAGGTATGTTACCCAGGCAGGTCACAAATTCCTGGGCTCAAATAAATGATCCTTCCACCTCAGCCACCTGAGTAGTTAGGGTTACAGAAAGGAATCACCACACCCGGTTCTTCAATAATATATATTGTTTTCTCCACCCCTTCTCGTATAGCTATGCTGGTTTAGATATGGTAACTCCTGCTGGAACTATTAAGGATATGGTGGATTGAATCACCTCCCAAGGTGCCTTCCAATTGTGTCTACCTGTAATTCTACCTAAAATATGTTATCTCATGAGACACAAGTTCATGTCTTCCAGTATTTTCAGTACAATACCTAATAGGACTATTCTTGATCATGTATTTCTAGAGATGTTTTAGATTCAAAAGTAAAATAATACATGTATTGATTCCCCTCCCCCCAGACGGAGTTTCATTCTTGTTGCCCAGGCTGGAGTGCGATGGCGCCATCTCGTCCGCCTCCCGGTTCAAGCGATTTCCTGCCTTAGCCTCCCAAGTAGCTGGGATTACAGGCCCGCGTCACCTCCCGGTTCATTTTTTGTATTTTTAGTACAGACGGGGTTTCATCGTGTTAGCCAGGATGGTCTCGATCTCCTGACCTTGTGATCCGTCCGCCTCGGCCTCCCAAAGTGCTGGGATTACAGGCGTGAGCCACCGACCCTGGCTGAAAAGAAAACATTTTTAAAACCAGACTCAGTGGCTCACGCCTGTAATCTCAACACAAACCAAGGCAGGCAGACTGTTTGAGCTCAGGAATTAGAGTCCAGCGTGGGCAGCATGTTGAAACAGCATCTCTACTGAAACAAAAACAAAACAATTGTTGGGCGTGATGGTGCGCGCCTGTAATCCCAGCTACTCAGGAGGCTGAGGCAGGAAAATTGCTTGAACTCGGGACTCGAGGTTGCAGTGAGCGGAGACTGTGCCACTGCACTCCAGTCTGGGCGGGGGAGTGAGACTCTGCTAAAAACAAAAACATACATAGAGCCTATTGAAAAGCAATGAGAACAAATAAACTACAACTATTTAACATCTATGAATCTCACATAGTGTCAAGAAAAAGATTCAAAAGAGAACATACTGGCTCTCTGCTCCTCCAGTTCGCCAGACAGCCCTATCTTGTCCCCCATCGCCATCCACATCCCTGAGACACCAAGGGGAAGGTGAAGGTCGGAGTTAACAGATTTGGTCGTATTGGGCGCCTGGTCACCAGGGCTGCTTTTAACTCTGGTAAAGTGGATATTGTCGCCATCAATGATCCCTTCATTGACCTCAACTACATGGTCTACATGTTCCAGTATGATTCCACCCATAGCAAATTCCATGGCACTGTCAAGGCTGAGAACGGGAAGCTTGTCATCAATGGAAATCCCATCACCATCTTCCAGGAGCGAGATCCCTCCAAAATCAAGTGGGTCTATGCTGGCACTGAGTACATGGTGGAGTCCACTGGCGTCTTCACCACCATGGAGAAGGCTAGCGCTCACTTGCAGGGGGGAGCTAAAAGGGTCATCATTATCTGACCCCTCTGCTGATGCCCCCATGTTCGTGATGGGCGTGAACTATGAGAAGTATGACAGGAGCCTCAAGATCATCAGCAATGGCTCCTGCACCACCAACTGCTTAGCACCCCTGGCCAAGGTCATCCATGACAACTTTGGTATCGTGGAAAGACTCATGACCACTGTCCACACCATCACTGCCACCCAGAAGACCGTGGATGGACCCTCTGGGAAACTTTGGTGTGATGGCCGTGGGGCTCTCCAGAACATCATCCCTGCCTCTATTGGTGCTGCCAAGGCCGTGGGCAAGGTCATCCCTGAACTGAACAGGAAGCTCACTAGCATGGCTTTCCGTGTCCCCACTGCCAATGTGTCAGTGGTGGACCTGACCTGCCATCTGGAAAAACCTGCCAAATATGATGACATCCAGAAGGTGGTGAAGCAGGCATCGGAGGGCCACCTCAAGGGCATCCTGGGATACACTGAGCACCAGGTGGTGTCCTCTGACTTCAACAGCGACACTCATTCTTCCACCTTCGATGCTGGGGCTAGCATTGCCCTCAATGACCACTTTGTCAAGCTCATTTCCTGGTATGACAATGAATTTGGCTACAGCAACAGGGTAGTGGACCTCATGTCCCACATGTCCACCAAGGAGTAAGACCCGTGGACCACCAGCCCCGGCAAGAGCACAAGAGGAAGAGAGGCCCTCGCTGCTGGGGAGTCCCTGCCACAGAGTTCCCCACCACACTGAACTGCCCCTCCTCACAGTTTCCATGCAGACCCCTTGAAGAGGGAGGGGCCTAGGGAGCCCCACCTTGTCGTGTACCATCAATAAAGTCCCCTGTGCTCAGCCAAAAAAAAATAAAAGAGAGAACATACCGTATTATATATGATTCTATTTATATAAAGTTAAAAAATAGACAAAATCAATATATTAGAATTGTGGCTGGAGATGCAGTATCTGCGAATCCGACAAGGAAATTTCTGGTGGTCTGGTAATGCTCTATTTCTTGAATTAGGTGTTTGTTACATGAACGTGTCCTCTCTTGAAATGGATATATTTAACTCTATTAAATGTATATTTTTAACTCTATTAAATGTTTACTTTTCTTTGTGTATATTATGCTTAAATTAAAATTTACATCAAATTTTTATTTTCAAAAACCAAGTACCAGGCCTGGCACAGTGGCTTACACCTGTAATCTCAACACTGGGAGGCCGAGGCGAGAGGATCACTTGAGCTCAAAAGTTAAAGATGATTCTTAGGCTGGTGCTGCTGCAAATTTAAAAAAAGAAAAAAGAAAAAAAAAGGGTTGGGGAGCAGTGTGAGCAACATGGCAAAACTTCGTCTCTACAAAAAATACCAAAATTAGCTGGAGTAGTGGTGTGCACCTGTAGTTCCAGCTACTTGGAAAGCTGAGAGGCTGAGGTGGGAGGATATCTTGAGCCCTGGAGGTCAAGGCCATATTCGTGCCACTGCACCCCAACCTGGAAGAC